TTATTCTGATGGTGTTTGCCTTTTTTGGGGGTTTTGGGGGTGTTTTTTGGTCTTTTTCCTGCTTCTCTCTTGTTAGGACACTGGTTGTTGTATTTAGAGTCCACTGATTAATCCATGATAATCTCCATGTACATACCCTTAAATTAATAACAATTGCAAAGTCGTTGTCATATAGGGTAACATTACACATTCCAGGCAATAGGATCTGATATTTGGGGGTCATTATTCAGTGTACTATAGGTTTGTTTCTCACACTTGACAGTACAAGTTCATAACACAGCTTGTCTAGGGAGGGGCAGTATTTCTCCGAGATGTCACCCAAAAACACTACTGACGTCGGCTTTACCATCTATTGCTGCGCTTGCTGGTACATTAAGTCTCCTCAGTCACTGTGGCAGAAGAAACAACTGGAAGGTTGCACATCTGCTTTAACTCACCCAGAAATGACGCATATCATTACATATGACAATCCACTTCTGCAACTAGTCATTTCTGAGCCCACCTGCAATGGGGCAAGCACATGTAAAGCAGCATATGAAATGCTTCAGCAACACTATCTTTGTGACCTATGCTATATCAATTATTTTATAAGTAATAAAATATTAATAATTAACCTGATGGAACAACTGATATGTGCTAGACAGTATGCTAAACTTTGTATCTATGCCAGGTTATAAGCTTCTTGAAAGTCCATAAGTGTTACATTACTATCTCCCTCTTTAAACATGAGAAGAAAATCAACCTGAGTTCACTGAACAAATTTGTAACCATGACACTTATCTGCACTGACAAAGATATGGTAAGTCTGCTTGGAAGTGTGGACTCATAGGTGACCGTGCAGAGGAAAGAATGGATCTATCTCCCTTGTTGGAAAAAAAAGCATTCTCAAGCCAGAACTGTCTTGGTAAGGCAAAACGGCATGTAAATAACAGATTTTATCATGGAAATTTCTTAAATCTTCCTTGAGAAAGAGCAAGAAAGAACATGAAATAAAACCGAAATAAAAATTTTAAAACCATTATAATATCAAGTGCTGTCAAAGAAGTGAAGCAATTGTAATACCTTGCTGGTAGGAATGCAAACTGGCAGTCAGAAAACACTTGGCAGTTTCCATTCAATTATACATATACTTACCATCTGACCAAGCCATCCAACTTATAGATATTTACCCAAATAGGCAGTCAAGGAACACCAAAGATTGTCAGCAAACTACCCAGTAGTTAAAAGAAAAACATGAAACAGATTCTCTCTTAGAGCCTTCAGAAGGAGCCAACAGAACAAAATCTGCCAATACCTTGGTCTCAGATGTCTAGCTTCCAGAAATGTGAGACAATAAATCTCTATTGTTCAATCCGTCTAGCTTGCGGTACTTTTTTCATGGCAGCTTTAAGAAATTAATACAAGTAACAATATGGATGCATCTCAAATGCACCATGCTAGCCAAAAGAAGCCAGAGTCAAAGGCTACATTTATTAGGATTTTATTTAAGTGACATTCTTGCAAAGACAAAAACATATGAACAGAAAATAGGTTAGTGGTTGTCATGGGCATTGAGTAAGAGAAGGATTTGACCACAAATAAGCTCAGAGGTTTTGTTTAGGTGATGAAATTCTTCTACATTGTGACTGTGCTAGTGGATATGTGATAGAAATTTGACCAAGCTATTAGAACTACACACTAAAAACTGTGGATATTACTGTTTGTAAATTTTACTTTAATTAGAAAGTGGGAGAAAAAAGAAATAAGTAATACACACAGGTGTGCACCCTCAATGTATCCAGCTAGGTCTCCACAGGCAATTTGTTTTTTCCCTAGGAAAGTGTAATAAAAGTCATGTGTCCTCATGGGAGACATCCCCAGAGAGGTCCATGTGTCTATAAATCCCTCTTGATTCCCATTATTTAGCCTCTAAAATCCCAAATATATTTCAATCTAACATCATTTTAGAAGGACTGACTGTGTGCTTTTAGCCATCATTTTTCATCTAAATGTTAACAGCTGTTAGTACTTAAGCGCTTTCCTCCCACCCCCAAATCTTGACCTGACGATTTGCTATGAACTCCTAACAATGACCAGGAAGAACACTTTGAGATGAAAATTATATTGGTTGACTTTAAAGTGATAACCCTTCAGCAAGGCTTTTTATGGTGCTTCCCTTATTTGCTATTCACATACACAATTCCTTGGATTATGTGGGAGAAGTAATTTTATTCTTTATTTTACAGATAAGAAGAAGATAAGAGACTTTACCAAGGGTACACAAAGAATGCATGATGAATTCAGTACTTAAACACATGTTCCTGCCTCCATGTGTGTTCTTCCTCTCATCTCTACTTGCCTTAGAGACTTTGGAAATTTTTGACGAGTGCCTAATAGAGAATATTGCTCACAGTAAATATATATTACTCTATGGCTGAATTTCTGATTTTAGATTCACTATTCAGGATTTACTGCCCCTTCATCTCCAGCAGCAAGGTAAGCTTCTATAATACATATACACTTTAAGTCAGAAGTGTAATTCATACAAAATCAATGGAGCATCTATACCTTCTATGAGTTATTTAAGCACAGAAATAGGTTTTTTGAATATTTTGCTACAGCAGTGAGTTGAGGCTGGACATAAGTATCAAAACTTCCATTATTAGGAAGTTTAGTGATAATTCTGAAACATTTTCATGTTGCTTTCCTAAAAGAGACTGGTAAAAAATAAATAAAAATAAAAATAAAGGATAGATGATGCTTGAGTAAGCAGGCATAAATTTCATCTTATTCACTATCTGTTGACCTCTCAGTGAAGGTTAAAAAAAGACAAGTGTGAAATAAATCCTCTTGAATGAGCAAGATCCATACTCCACTGTAAACTTTTCCCCATAATCTCACTCTTATTGTTACTAGCACATCTATAAATGCTGACAGTGAGGTGGCTAAAAGCAAAGACTTTTGATTTGGTCACAGCTGGGTTTGAATCTTAAGTCTTGAATTTTCTTCACACTAGCTCTTAATTGTAGAGCTTTACATAGTTTCTCAAATCATCAGTTCTATTAATTGAAATAATAATATCACTTACCTTATAACATTATTGTGAGGATTAAATGAAAAGATGCATATATATACATATGCACACACACAAATATAAATGTATATAGATTTTTTTTAAAGATTTTATTTTTCCTTTTTCTCCCCAAAGCCCCCCATACATAGTGGTATATTTTTAGTTGTGGTTCCTTCTAATTGTGGCATGTGGGATGCCGCCACAGCATGGATTGATGAGCAGTGCCATGTCGGCTCCCAGGATCTGAACTGGCGAAACCCTGGGCCACCGAAGTGGAGCACACGACCTTAACTATTCAGCTACGGGGCCAGCCCCTAGATCTTATTTTTTATTGTAGAACACAGTATATTCTACAAGTGGTTATGGTTGGCAAACATAATGACTTTATGGGCTAGGCATTAAAGTGAAGCTATGAAAAGATTAAAGAGGATGGTGATAAAAAATAATTAGCAGATAATACATGCCCTTGTAAAGGTATCAAAGTCAAATAAAAAGATTAAAAACACTGTACCTAAACAAGAATAGATTCAAATAAAAAATTTTCAAGCATGTAATTGGCCAACAAAAGAGATCTGTAGCTAACAAACTAAGAACATTCACCCTTTGTTCTCTGTGATTCAACTATGGGATAAGAGTAATGAGAGAAAGAATGAATTTAAGAAAGAATACCCTTTCATCCCAAGCTAAGCCATAGATGTTAAGGAAGAAATTAAGCAAAAGAATGGCCCACATGAAATGGCTGAACATCCACTCATGTAGACAGAGTGACAAACTGAGAAACACTGGAGGCACAGAAAATCTCAGGGCACCACATGTGTGAAAAAAGGCAAATTGAAGAGAGAAGTCTTAAAAAACTCTACCACACTGGAGCCTTACATTTAACCATCCACCTTCCTCAAACAAACATGGAGGCTATCATTCCATCATAATCATAATTCTGATTTTAATATAAACATCTAAATCTAATTAGACTGTGCTAAATACCCAGCACTTTACTCATTATTTTTTATGCACTATCATTTAATTCTTACAATAATACCTTGAGTTAGGTCTCATTACTATTTTCATTTAGTAGATGAAGAAAATCAGGTTGAGAAGAGTTAAGAGAGGACCAATAACTCCTAGGTAGTGAATGATACGGCTGATATACACCTCAGCCCAGAACCCAGGCTTCATACTGGATGCTGTGCCTTCCTCTCAGAATTGCCTCTGCTGGATGTACATGCCCCTACTGCTCCAGTTACACCACTACATGCACTATGCATATATCTCTCTTATGTCACTGTAATATTCCAAACTCTGAGTTTAGAACTTTGGAGACATGGAGTAATTGTAAATTGAATTAAATTCAACTTGGTTTAAATTCAGTTAAGACCCGTAGACTTGGGAGTCGCTCTGCCTGGGTACAAGGCCTGGCTTTGGCACAAATAATTTTGTAAACTTAAATATATTACCCAACCTCTGTGCTTCCTAAGTTAAATGCGTGTAACAATTAATCACTCCCATAGGGAGGTTGAGAGTAATAAATGAATCTACATGTAAAATGCCTTGAGCAGTTCCTGCACATGGGCAATATAGACCTAAGTGTTTAGTAGGCTCAGAAAAACTGAGTTGACAGATGCAGTCATTCAAGACATTTCATCTTAATCAAGGCATTACCTTTTCTACAAATCAGTTTACAAATTCATAAAATTTAAAAATTGAAAAATGATCCATAAAAATCTTTCAGTTTCAAAAGTGTGAGACTCTACAGATAATTCATGCCTTAAACTTTATTGTTTAGTCAATACTTTAAACTTGTGGAATCTTGACATATAAATTATTGCTATAATGAAAAATATATATATATAATATTAAATGAATTTTACTTCAATCTCTTCTTTGTTTGTCACTCTGTACCTTTATTTCTCATTGCTACAGGGCATCCTGTGATTCCAAAATAACATCCATGGAGAACAACACAGAAGTGACTGAGTTCATCCTGCTGGGACTAACCAATGCCCCAGAACTGCAGGTTCCTCTCTGTATCATTTTCACTTTCATTTATCTCACTAATGTACTTGGAAATCTAGGGATGATCCTGTTGATTCTCTTGGACTCTTGTCTCCACACTCCCATGTACTTTTTCCTCAGTAACTTGTCTCTGGCGGACATTTGTTACTCTACAGCTGTCACTCCCAAGATGATGGCTGGGTTTCTTTTAGGTGACAAGGTCATCTCCTACAATGCATGTGCTGCTCAGATGTTCTTTTTTGCAGTCTTTGCCACTGTGGAAAGTTACCTCTTGGCCTCTATGGCCTGTGACCGCTATGCAGCAGTGTGTAAACCCCTACATTATAGCACCATGATGACAACAAGTATGTGTACACGTCTGGCCATAGGCTCCTATATATGTGGTTTCCTGAATGCCTCTATCCATGTTGGGGATGTATTCAGTCTTTCTTTCTGTAAGTCCAATATGGTCCCTCACTTTTTCTGTGATGTTCCAGCTCTCATGGCCCTCTCTTGCTCTTACAGACATGTTAGTGAGCTGATCCTTGCTCTTCTGGAAAGCTTCAACATCTTTTTCGCTCTCCTGGTAATCTTGATTTCCTACCTGTTCATATTTGTCACCATCCTAAAGATGCCCTCAGTAGAAGGATACATGAAGGCTTTATCCACCTGTGCTTCTCACCTCACTGCAGTCTCCATCTTCTATGGGACAGTCATCTTCATGTACTTACAGCCTAGCTCCAGTCATTCCATGGACACAGACAAAATTGCATCTGTGTTCTATACAATGATCATCCCTATGCTAAATCCCATGGTCTACAGCCTGAGGAACAAAGAGGTCAAGAGTGCTTTCAAGAAGGCTGTTGAGAAGGCAAAATTGTCTCTAGGCTTCAGATCTTAAAGTTATAGGATCCGCAAGACCTAGTTTCAGTCCTGTCAGATCTTCTCCATGCATTAACTCACATTTTATGGCCTACACTACCTTTACATTACTGAGGTATTGCCCTTTCCCCTTCAAAAATGTGTCTCCTATAAAACAAAAAATAATGTCCAGATATGTAATATCTGAATGAGGATAGCCAAAAGGCATCTTAAAAATTTTTAGATCCTATTTGTCATAAACCTTCTTAATTACATTTGATTTATTCATATGTTCACATTTTCTTTATGATATACCAATGCAAATATATTTGTAAAACAGGGCTCAAACCCGTGAATAGGAGTGCATGCAAGGATCCCACGTGTGCACATACACACAAGAGTGGGAAATTTGTTAAAGTATGTAGATGGAGTATGACTAGCTTTTATTTAAAAAGTCAAAGTAATTAATTGTGGTAGCAGTATATAAATTTATGTCTAATATTTTTTATTTCTCTCATTAAAAAAACTATTCCAAGAGTCCAAAATAAGGGAAAACATGACACATATTTTTAATAAAGGTATATACTTTTTGTTGGCTTTTTTTTTCAGAGCTATGTAGGTATAACACCTTGAAGGAATTAAAATTTTTGTCTTCAGTAAGTCATTTGGTAGAAAAAGTATGATCACACAATAATTTTCAAAAGTAAGAAGACCAGAGTTCAAAAAAAGGGGATCAATTGATAACAAGGGAATTTTTCAATTTTTCCGTGTATGACTACCAACTCCTCAACTTTGTAAAAGAAAATGCATGGAGCAATAATAATGTTATTCTTTTTTTTCTCTAGAAATACTGTGAAATGGCTAATGTCACTCATGCATGAATACTTTAGTTTTAGATGAGTACATCATGTCTTACCACTCTCCTACTCATTCACTCAACTTCCTTCACACAGTTTCTTGCTATTGCTGGACAACTCCAAGCATGTTCCTGCCTCAGGGTCTTTGCACTTGCTGTTGCCAATGTTCAGAAAGCTCCCTCACTTCCTTCAGGTCTTTGCTTAAATATTACCATATCACAGTCACTCCACTTCGTAATGGATACTGTTCAATTCTTGCTTTATTCTTCATAGTGTTGATTAGTACTCAACTATTGTTGTTACTATTAATTTATTTGTTCACCTGTTCATCTATCTCCATATCTAGAATATACACTACCCTAGAAGAATGTCTTTGCTTCTTTACTAACAACTTCTTCCTCAAAACATAAATTACATTCTGGCTCATACTAATTCCTCTGTAAATATTTGTTAAATTAATAAATCAATTATTTAATTATACTTTGAGTCCAGCAGTCTATATATTTGAACCACTGATCATTGAGTTCATTACTTATTATATAAGTCTTTAGAAAACAATTCTAGAGCATTCCATGAGATGTAACTAGTTTTTTCTATTTTCTCACTCACTACTTGCATTCTCCCACTTTTGGAATATGTAATCTTTTGAAAAACACACCATCAAGTAGAACATATCAAACCGTCTTAAGTTTTTTTATTAGAAATTTCTCAATAAGTGGCAAATAACACATGAAATTAATTTATGTAGTAAATCATAAAAAGACAAAATATGAGACTGTGCTAAGTTTCCTACATGATTCAATTTTAACAATTTCTTCCTACATATTGATGATTTATTTAACTTTAAGAATAATTGATGATTCTAAGTATCCATACAAAATGTAAGCTTGACAATACTTTACAACAATAAACATACCCTACCTCAATACACTAATACAATATACAATAATTAGGTATTTTATTTGGACCCTCAAATGAGTTCAATTCTATACTAAAGCTATTCAAAGGAATTTGCACTCATGAATTCTTTCCCATTTCTATAAAATTAGAAACATTAAACATCTCAAGATTTATACAACTGTACTTGAATGTTATAGAGGGACATACTGATATTATCAATGATGGTATGGTGTAACACAAATATCCTCTTCTGGCTCCAAAGGCTGTGAAAATGGTGTTTTCTCCTCCTGGAAACATTTTTAATGATTATTTTAAATATATTATAAATTTTATAATAATTTTAGACTTCAAGAAAATTGCTGTGATATTACAGACAAGTCCGGCATGTCTTTCGCTGTCTCCCCTATTGTTCACATCTTACTTTATTTTAATACATCTGTCAAAACTAACATTGGCACATCGCTATTGCTTAAACTTCAAGAATTTAGTCAGATTGTATTGTATTTCAAATGATGTCCTTTTTCTCTTCCAAGATCCAGTCCAGGAAACAACATTCACAGCGTTGCACGCCTCCTTAAGTCTCCTCTGATCTGTAACAGTTTCTCAGTCTTTATTTGTTTTTCTTTTACCTTGATAGCTTTGAGAAATACTGGTCAGATACTTTGCAGAATGTCTTCCAATTTGCGTTTGCTTGATGTTTTTCTCTTGATTAGACAGTGGTTATAGGTTTTCAGGAAGAATAAGACATGCCTTTCTCATCATATCCTATCAGGGGATATATGTTACCAACATGACTTGTCACTGAGGATGTTAACCTTGATCACCTGACCAAGATATTTTTGCCAGTTTATTCACTGTAAAATTACTTGTTTTCCACTTTTTGTACTCTATCCTTTGCAAGCTAATCACAAAGTCCTTACCCGACTCAAGGTGGCTGGGTAGTATACTCCCCATCCTGGGGTATGTTGTTGTTAGTGCCCTGGAGTCGAGTTGATTCCAACTCCCAGTGACCCTGTGAACAGCAGAGCAGAATCCTGCCCAGTCTTTTGCACCATCCTCTCACCTTCCAGTGCTATATCAGATAATGCTCCACTGCTATTCATAGGGTTTTCATGGCCAATTTTTTTTTAGAAGTGGGTGAACAAGTCCTTCTTCCTAGTCTGTCTTAGTCTAGAAACTCCACTTAAAGCTGTCCACCATGGGTGACTCTGCTGGTACTTAAAATACTGGTGGCATAGCTTTCCGCTTCAGAGAAGCATGCAGCTGCCACAGTATGACAACCGACAGACGAGTTGTGCATTTCCTTTCCAGGGGAGTGGTTCCTAAATATATTATTTAGAATTCTTCTACAAAAATGAAGTCTCCCCTCCTTCACTTAATTTGTTTGTTTGATTGTCTGTTTTTACCAGCATGGGCTCATTTATTTTTGTTTTACATCCTAGTTATAATTCAATATGATATTATTTATTTTTTTGCTTGACTTGTTCCATCTTTGGCCAGTGGGGACACTTTCAATTTGACCTGTTTTTCATTTGATATGCCCCAGTCCTTTTGTTTTTGGTTTTTGTTTTCTTTTGTTTTGATTTTTTCTTTCTGAAACTAGAAGGTGCTCTAGGCTCATCTTGAATTTTTCCTGTCCCAGGAAAATGTGAGGTGATATCTTATTGTGGTTTTGATTTGCATTTCCCTGATGATGAGTGATGTTAAGCATCTTCTCATGTAGCTGGTGACCATTTGTATGTCTTCTTTGGAAAAATGTCTATTCAGGTCCTCTGATAATTTTTTAACTGGATTTTTTGAAATTAAGTTGCATGAGTTCTTTACATATTTTGAATACTATCCCTTATTGGATAAATCATTTGCAAGTATCTTCTCACATTCAGTAGGTTGCCTTTTCATTTTGCTCATGGTTTCTTTCACCGTGCAAAAGTTCTTTAGTATGAAGTTGTCTCATTTGTTTATTTTTGCTTTTGTTGCCCTTGCCTGAGGAGACAGATTCAAAAAAATATCACTAAGACTTATGTGAAAGACCTTACTACCTATATTTTCTTCTAGAAGTTTTATGGTTTCAGGTCTTACATTCAAGTCTTTAATCCATTTTGAGTTTATTCTTGCATATGGTGCAATATAGTGTTCCAATTGCATTCTTTTGCAGGCAGTTATTTAATTTTCACAACATCATTTATTGAAGAGACTGTCTTTTCCCCATTGTTTTAGATGAATGGATAAAGAAGATGTGATATGTGTGTGTGTATATATATATATGAATATTACTTAGCCAAAAAAATAATGAAGTCTTGACATTTGCAATGACATGGATGGACCTAGAGGATATTATGCTAAGTGAAATAAGTCAGACAGAGAAAGGCAAATATCACATGATTTCACTTATATGTGGAATCTAAAAACTAAAACAAATGAACAAAAAAAACAAAACAGAAGCAAACTCATAGATACAAAGAACAAATTGGTTGCCCCCAGAGAGGAGGGGGTGAGAGGATGGGCAAAATAGGTGAAAGGGACTAAGAGGTATAAAATAAATAAGTCACAAGGATGTAATCTACAGCATAGGGAATATACTCAATAATATTATAGTAACTTTGTATGGTGACAAATGGATACTACACTTGCCATGGTGATCATTTTGTAATGTGTATAAAAGTCAAACCACTATGTTGTACACCTGAAACTAATATCATATTGTATGTCAACCATACTTCTAGATGAACGACCTCACTCAACTCACTCTTATTCTGCACTCAGTCCAAGTTCTTCCATATGAGCTCCTGCCTTCTACAGGAAGCTGACATACATGAGTGAGAGACCCCATTCACACTTCACTTCTTATGATAGTGATAACATAGCATTATCTTTGGTTTGTCATCTTGTCATAGGTGCCTCTCATGATGATTCCCAAATGACTTTGATGGAGAGCATTTCAGAAGTGACTGAATTCATTCTTCATATGACAGTCTTTATTTTTTTCTCATAGGCTGATGTTTCCCATTTCTTAGCATAATTTATGTCACATGACTGCACAGCTCAAATTTGTAACAGCCATGCCTAACTGACTGATGAAAGAGAGATAGTTCTGCTTGAGTATTTGGAGTCAGAGATGACCATGCAGAGGAAAGAATGGATCCATCTCTTAGTTCTAGAAAAAAGAAAAAAATCTTCCTAAATATCCCCAGACCAGCACTTTAGTGGTAAGACAAATGGGTGTTTTGTTTAAAAAAAATCCTGGGGCAATTTCTAGGCTCTAATGAAAGAACTAGATATGAGA